CAATTATTGGGTCCAAGAAAGAACTTGGTAACGAACTGTAGGCACGCATCCGTTACACTATATTAAAGTATTAACCCAATGTCATTTTCCCATAATACATGCTTTCATATGGTTTTCATTTCAACGGGTACGTAAACGTTAATTTGAATTAAGTTCTGTTTTCTTCTCCCCGGTTTCCTTTTCAACGTTGAACATGAGCCCGGTTCCAATTTCAGCAAAGGTCAATTTTCAACGTTACATCAGCTCTCAAATGTACAGGTGAAGTGGCCCTGATCGCAAGATAAAGAGGAGGAGCTCGCCAAACTAATTTGATCTGGGTCTACGTGGCAATAACGGGCTAGATCCTTACTCTTCATTCAACCTCATTAGAGTTTACGTACCTATACTTCCAGGGATGCTCCGAATCCAAATGCATGCATCTATAATCCTTCTTCCCAGGAACAACACAGCAGTGGAACAGCCTCCCACCTGAGACGACGACTGCCCCAACCCTGGCGGCCTTTAAGACCAAGCTGAACAGCATCCCAGCAGGTTACACGACCTTCTCCGAATAAGTTCAAACTACCGGCCTTTATAATAACTAAGGAACCTAATGCCCGTATTATTAAACTCTTTACTGTTGGAAGAGTATATGGCCTAATGTGCACCGCATTGGGGTAAGTTCGACAGGATGTCTGGGGTACATGTAAGTTCGGCCCACATTGGAATTTGCATAATTATGACGTGAGAAAGCATGCAACGTCATATTTTCCCGACAATGCCAGGCATTCCGTGTATGGCATTGGCCGAACCTGTCCCTGTGTCATGGGACGGACCTGCCCCAAATTTATATTTTAAGAAATCTGTATATTAGAGCAATACGAAACTCAATGCTAGGCTTGTATGTATACCATCATGTGAAGCTGTCGGTTTGTTACATGTATACCATTGATAAGTAGCATTTCGGTTTACAAAAAGTTTGCAAAACTAGAAAGAAGTGAGGTCATAATTTTCTTTCTACTCTCCCAAACAATATTTTTATCGCTTTTAGTATTATAGAATTATAGTTTTCCCGTCATTCTTTTTCGTATGAATGTCCTGCCCAGTGAACTGCACTGCTATACTCCTCAAAGTTGTAAATATTTGCTCAAGACTAAAATATCAGGAGTGGCCGGAGTTACCCCAGGGCCGAACTTGCCCTGGTTTCCACAAGTTGCCCTATGACCCCATATTGAACCCTGTCACTATGGATCTGCCCTGGTTCGTTTTTTTAATTGTTAGTATCAATTACCGGTCTATTTGTTTGTTTTCTTCAGATGGTACCGTAAAGTACTGAAGAGAGTATAAGAACGAAAATAAAAAAGATAATTTACACAAGTATTAGACTAGTGTTTGTTAATACATGCATTCACAGAATCAAAAGGTCTTAATCCAGATTTGATGCTTACATTTTAACAGTGATGTATTGTTTGTAAATATACAATTAGAATAATGATTACATTACGCAGTACATATTGAAGAGATTCTGTCTTTTCTCTAGTTTTAAAAGACAAAGAACATTCAAAGACACGAAAGTATAGAGGAATGGTTAAGTCTTGCAGAACAGTCGAATATCCAATATTGCATACATTCACAAAAAAGAATTTTGACTTAGGCCTTAATTTGGCGTTCCTCTCGAAAGTACATGTATTTATACTTGCACATGTCAGTTATACGCCGAAATATCTTCCTATCCATATTTATACTTACCGCATTTCCACTGTCTTCATTCAATCATTCTGATGCCAATAGTGATCATATTACAAAAGCATATATACACACAATTACTGTGAGAGAATTTACTGCATATTTTTCTCTGAAGTAATTTGGTAAGAAGAAGAAGCAGATGGCACAGTAAAACGCGCCTTTAAAAAATAAATCATGTTCTTAAAAATCAGGTTACGGAAAACTATGACATTATTGAGAGATGAAATTTCAAAAGATAAAGAAATATATTTGTGTTTGTTGAAAAATTCAGAAAGAAAATGTCTGTATTCGAACTTGTGTTAAAACGACTTCAGAAGAAGTTTTTAAAAGTGACATAAATGCATGAAATACGTTCACTACATATAAGATATCCAGTATGTGTCCATGTCTACTATGAAGTTACAAATGAAAAAATGTGCACCTTATTGTAGGAATAAGAATAAACTAAATCAAAATATTCAAAATAATGTTGTATACAGTAGCTGCAGAAAATTCGAGTTGGCTTCAGTGAATGTATTGCCAACACTATATGTGCACGCGTGTTAACAGTGACGTCACAATTGCGTCACAACATGTTGTGAACGTTTCAACGCAAAATACGTATGTAAGGACTTATCAGTATCAACTGGTGCTATTTTGAAGCTAAGGACAAATAACCAAGCGCATGTACTGGATGGAAACAATTTTCGGTTCGATAAAAATGAAAATATCAAAATAATATGTAGGACATCGAAGGAATTCATCACTAACATCGACTTGTAAAAAAATGTAGGATTGTTTCTGAACATAAAAATCTGACGGAGAAACGACAAAAATACAGGGTATTCATTAAAAAATATCAAATATCAAATATCATGTTGCCGTTTTTAGCGAGCCTGAACGACCGGAAGGATGAATCAATTCACTCACATTTCCCCGTACTTTCCGTACATGTGTTGCTATAACGGCTGGCACTAGCGATCGTCCGAGAGTGCTCGCTACTAAATTACTTTTTTTAATGACAAGTGCAATTGATATAAACCACATACAAATAAGCTTTATGCCTAAAATAAATACGTCGTTTATGCTGTTGCGATATTCATTGTTAGGCGCTTCTCAACAGTTTGTTGACTACGCCTAGCGGAGAAAATGGTTACTAGGGTAGGTAATCGAACTCTGATTTACCATTCCACAAGCCGCAGATTTCCTGGTCAAATAGTTGACTAACGGCAGAAAAAGTGGTTGCTTTGGTAAAAAAAAAAAAAAAAAAAAAAAAAAAATCTCTACTCAATTGCTACTATTTATGTAAGGAAATCATACCACCAAATCATAGCAGAAAACGTTAGAAATTTTGTTTGGTAGCGCATTCAAAATAGCGCGCTGCCTTGTTGTCAAGCGTGACGGCATTATTTGGGGTCAAAGATTATACTATTATATCCCGATTTGTTTTTAGTCACTCGGTAACATTTTCGTCTTTATAGATACTTTTTAAAATGTTATAAATAGAAAATATAATGGTTTCACTATAAACACCATATGCACTTCACAATATCATAATCTTGATAAACCGAAATGCTTATCCATGCTGGATGTTGATTGCAATGTTGTATCGAAACGTACTGAAGCCAGTTGTTAGCAATCATTTGATTAAATGCGATATCCAATCGGAAATATTTCATAATTTATCAAACATGCAAGTTATTTCTGAAATATAAGCAATTAATTTGTTCATAAAACGCAGCGGAATGTTTAATATACTGTATTGACCAAGTGTGCGTGGTCCCTTGGTCACATGTTTTATGTGTTATATACCACAAAGATGACATGAATATTATAATTATACATAATCAAATGCGTATTAAAACTTAAAAAAATACTACAAAAGGACACAGTCGTTGACGGAGAAATTGACAAATTCTTTATCATCTGTAATGGACGAAAGTGACGATGACAGAAAGCAGTGAGATACAGCCAGCGAAGGTGATGAAGATGTTAAAATAGAATGAAATAGTATAGGAATATAAAAAATGAAAACCTTAAATATTTTGTTAAAAAAAACCATGTAAACAAAATAATGCCAATAATTAATAAATAAACAAAACACCTACACGCAAAAAAAATCCTCTGAAAATTACAACCAAACCATAAAAGAAACCTGCGTTGTCAGAACAAAAAAGCAGAGATCTCAATCATTTTTAAAGGATTTCCAAGAACCAATGATTACGTTCAAGTTAGCCAAAACGACTGAACACATGGCAGTTATAAAAAAAAGCCACTCAAACAGTGCCTTCGTCAGCAACAATGGTATGATCATGGAATACAACGTCATTTGTTGTGTCATAACCACAGGCACATGCGTTTGTGCAATGTGTAAAATGTGTCTATACTGATATTAGCTCGAAATCTGAAGTGTTTTATCTCATTTAATGTTTGTATTGCTTAAATGTTAATGTCTTTTTAAGTAACATGTATGTCGGTCAAAAGCTCTATAGAGCTTATATATATGTTATTTGTTTTGAAATACCGACCGACTTTAAATAAAATTTATCTTATCTGATCTGATCTTATCTTGTTTCTGTCAAAAAAATAGTCCTGACAAAAAAAACCCACCCATCACCCTAGGCCTACTGATAAAACATGTAAGTAGGGTGTGCTTTTTATTTTGTCATGACTGTTTTTATTGACAGAAACAAATGCATGTGATCGACCCCATGGTTGAAGTCTATACACCGCTCACCATACATGTCGCGTGTTGTTTTAGCAAATATGTTAGCGCAGATCGTCTGAAAATGCCGTCCAAAGATTTCATTTGTTTTCATTGTATTTTAACTCGACTTCATATCATTCCGGACACCACTTTCGCGATTAATTTGTAGGATGTATTCAAAAAGTTGATATTATCTTAAAAAGTACACAATGCTTGTGATTAGAGTAGTCTCCGAACAAAAATCAGTTCAGTATTATTCGCGATATCAGTATTCATTTGAACAAAAACTGTTGAAAATATTACCATTTTTATTTCATAGTCGTTCATTCCGGCCAGCACTTTTAGTTCTAATTTTAAATACTACTAAACATCACTTATACCACTGTAACTGGTATAAAAATATCTTTCCTGTGCTGGTCTTTAAATAAAAATCAAATATATATTAAGGGAGATATGACCTAATAAATTCAAACATTCATCAAATATATCTTCGAGCCGGAGTGCTTTCCGGGTTTTGTACTCGCCCCTATATTCTGGACATTTCACAATTCAAGTCTTTAGTAAGACCCTCATTTCCGGTTGACAACCTGCTTTAACTGTTTAACGCCGGCCTCGAAAGTCTCAGAGGTGTGGAAATGATTAGACTTTGAAGAGTAGCTTGATCGGAAACTGTTATTCAGGTAACATAATTGAGATTGATTAAAGAAAAAGTATGATAACTCAGTGACTTTCTTAATGGGATGGAAATGTTTCTCAAGAGCAAGGTTGTCGTTAAGCTTAGCCCGCGTTTCCTCTGGCCCTGACACCTGACAGCAGACTTATTTTGACAGATAGATGTCTGCCCACACCGGAACTCGGCACTTTTTGAAGACAACTTGGTACTTATATCCAGAATCCAGTGTTGCTGAATCTGATATCTCTGAATCTTTGTGATGTTCAAAATTTATTTAAAGGGAAAGAACTCGTTGAAACTGATAAAGCGGATGAAAATCGCTTGATAATTTAATTAATTTTCATATTGAATAGGTCACGTCACGCTACCACAATTGGTACAATCAGGGACAGTATATAAAGGGGATTGGCGACTGCCCCATTCAAATTCTTTAGCATGTCGCTTTTGTGTTTTTTCACCGAACCACGAAGTCATCGAGAGGCCCTCTCGATCAGCCCGCGCTTGCGCACTAGCGTTAAAATCATGTCAACAATCTCGCCGAGATGGACTAAGACCACAATTAATTTTACTATATGTTTCATTGTAATATTTAATTTCATAACAAATTCCCAATATCCGATAGCCAACTTTCCATCTAACCTGGTCAAGAGCAACATCTTGGGAGTAAAATATCAAAATTTCAACATAGCATGTTGGCCTTTTTCTTGAGATAATCGTCTGCATGTGTCACCAATGTCAAAAATAAACTTCCGGGTCAGGGGTAGAGGTCAACACAGGACTTTTCACACAGCACCCTGCACCAAAAAATAAATGCACAATATAAAAATTTGACACAGAAATTGTTAGATTGATATCTCCACAGTATTTTAACACCAAACTTTTACACAAACACCAAGTTATAAGAGGCATAGTGTAGTTTTTACTAAAGTACCTATATTTCTAAGGGACTTCATTCGTGGGTACTGAACCCGGAAGCATTTAATTGTGACCTCAGTCCAGATGGAAGTGTTTGATAACGGTTAGCCCTGGTGGGGACTGTGTATTAGAAGGTCTTCTTTTTATTCCAGGGATAGGGCTATCATTGCCACTATGTCTAGCCTTTCGGCTGTGTTGGTGGCAACAAATCACATTTCGTAAAGCACGTTCCAGTGAAAATAATGCTAATATTGACACTTTTTGACACAAAAACAGCACAAGTTATTTGTTATTTTTTGCCATAAAAATTAGTACTACATATCAAAAAAAAATTCAACTTTCTCTCACTGTAAATTTCAAAATGAAGTATTTTTTAAATGAGCTGATCCTCGTATGCAGGCGATACTTTTTTTGTTGCGTTTAACATTTCCGGTTGTTTACGTTTTTTAACAACACGTGTCCTTCGTTACCAGATGAGTAATTTCATCTGTGACATCGCTATCGTTCCAAATAATGCAAATCAAATCAGGCCTACTTAACATAGAAATTACTCGACTTTTTATTGATATTGATTGTTTTAAAAAATATAAATGATAGTTTATAAAATTAATCAAAACAGTGAGCAGTTACCAACTACTTTCACAATAATGATTTACGTTCCAGTGAAAAATAGTGCTGATATTTACACTTTTAGACACAAAAATAACACAAGTTAAATTATTAGCTCACCTGGCACGAAGTGCCAAGTGAGCTTATGCTGTGGTGCGGCGTCCGTCGTCCGTCCGTCAGGCGTCAATATTTTACTTAAAACGACTTCTTCTTAATAACCAAAAGGCCAAGGGTGATGATATTTGGCCAGAAGCAAACTAGGATGATGGGCTACAAAGTTTGTTAAAATTAATGACCTTCACCCATTTTCAAGGTCACAGGGGTCAAATATGTTAAATACTTTAACAATTTCTTCTCAATATCCAAAATGCCCAGGGTGATGATATTTAGCCAGTAGCATGCTGGGGTAAAGGGCTATCTTGTTTGTTCAAATGAATGACCTTTACCTATATTCAAGGTCACAGAGGTCAAATATGTTAAAAACATTAAACAACTTCTTCTGAATAACCAAAATGCACAGGGTGATGATATTTGGCCAGTAGCATGCTGAGATGAAGGGCTACCAAGTTTGTTCAAATGAATGACCTTCACCCATATTCAAGGTCACAGGGGTCAAATATGTTAAAAACTTCAAACAACTTCTTCTGAATAACCAAAATGCCCAAGGTGATGATATTTGGCCAGTAGCATGCTGAGATGAAGGGCTACAAAGTTTGTTCAAATGAATGACCTTCACCCATATTCAAGGTCACAGGGGTCAAATATGT